GTCGCACTCAAACAGCCCTCTGCTCGTGTACATGAAGACTGAATATGTGATGCACTCGATCAGATTCTGCACTCTGCCCGTAACATCGGGCGCGGGATCCGCCTTCAAGATTGCTTTCTGAAAGACGACGCTAAAGGCCTTCAACGAAAACTGATAGATAGGATTGATTGTATTCAAGTCGTTTAGAATGAAGTACAGCAACGAGGCTCTCGCAGCTGCTGGTCGATACAATTCTCGTGCCGCGTCGATCTGTTGACTCGTGCCGCGAGCCTCCGTAACCTTGGCTTCGATATCTGCGGCGGTGCGCTTGGTGGTCTCTAGATTCTCTACGAGAGACGTGTCTCCGAGAACATTGCTACCAGCTGACGATAGTCTGCACAAATGATGATGGTATTAAAATGAATATCCGTATACGTCATTTATTTACTCAACAAATTTTGTTTGTGCGAATGCGTAAATATTATTGCAAATATAATTACAGATTGAATGAAATCAAATATTATTAGAAATAATACAAAATATTATTAGGACGCGTTTGCAAAACATTATGAGCTTTTTTTACAAATAGAATTTTGCATAATTTACTCATCGTGATTTGTGCGAAGAATATTTATACATCTGAAATTAATCTGTTAATATTATTGTTTAATGAAGCGAATTTATACCTCGAGAGAAGTGAGTCTTCGAGACTATTGAGCGTAATCTTAAAGTCATTCTGCTGTCTGGTAAGCTCTGCCTTTAATTCCTCCAAATCTGGCCTCTCCGCCTTAACCACTTCCGCGAGCAATTGATCCTCCAAGCCGTCCCTCGTCACCGTGAAATTAATCAGCGTGGTTTGCGCCTGCATTTCCGGCTTGTAATGAGGATTAGCCAGCTTCGTATGCAGCAGCAATCTGAACATGGAATTGTATTCCACCTCCTTATCGCCGATCTTAATAGCTCGGCCCTTCTTGATTAAATTTCGGCCGAGCAGAGGATCCAAAACGGGATCCACTGTTTCGCCGATGTTTTCCAGCAGAACCGTGGATCCGTTCGCTAACGATAACTCGATCACGTCCAAGTAACCACGTTGACCCAATCTGATCACTTTTAGCTCATCTCCGTACTTCTCTTTAATCCACTTTATTCCCTGAAGCTGTAAAAAAACAAGATTTTCGTCAGATCGCATTCAGCTTCTGATATCTTTTTTATTCGCCGTACTTGCGGATCTATCATTAGCGGCCAACGATCGGAATTGGTCAATATCGTGGCGTTCTCCGTTGACATTCGATCGTTCGGCAATCCTTCGTTGTTCCATTTGGCGATCTGCGTGTCGTCCGTCAGCAGCGATAGTGGATCTAAGCCTTCGGTAATCGGAATAATCGGTTCTATCATACGCATGTAGGGTAACCATTGCTTGTGCAGCAAATCCTGGCGAAATTGCTTAGTGAAACAACCCACGTAAGATATGAACGCCGTCACCAGTAATACGTCGCCGGGCATCGTCGACGCTTGCAGCATAAAGCTAGAAAAAGCGTTTATCGTTTTTAATTAATTATTAACACAACGAGATGCGCAATGACATCGTGAGATCTCACTTGGCCACCGAATCAGCCCAACGAACGTTTTCAGACGCCAGACCGCCGACTAATCTGTTCGCTAATGCGATCGTCGAATTCGTGGCGTCTGCTTCCTGTTGACATTTCAACTTCTCGGACGTCGCTTGCTCGAAGTCCGCCGTTAACTTCGCCAACTGTTCTTCTAAGGACTGAGAAAAACATCGATTATTTGAATCCAACAAACTGTCAATTGTGTAAAACAATGCAAATATATTTGCGAAAATTTTTCTGAAACTTTTAAGCAATATGATGAATGTGGTGCAGTAGAGATGTTCGATTCCAAATCGATTTTTTCTTAGAAACATATATGTTTTCTAAAAAATCGATTTGGAATCGAACATCCTTATGGTGCAATAACGCGGCCACGACGTCGATGTTCACTTACAGCCACTTTTCGCTTGATACCGCTAAGTTTCTCCTGCGCTGCGGCCAGTTCGGCGTTCGCGTGCGCGAGTGCCTTTCGTTTCGGTTCTACGTCGCAAAAGACTTCGTAGAACTTGATAATATTGATCACCCAGGCGCATAATCCCGCTGCGGCGGCTGACTTGGACCTTACGAACTCAGGTTCGAATTCAGAGTCCTTGAGATACGGCTGTATCGCTTTAATTACTTCGGGATGTATGTTCTCCTTGTCATAATTGATCAACGCATCCAAAAAGGTGTCCACTTTCGCCATCACAATCTTTGAAGAAAAAGAACAATATAACTTAACTTATTGTCCTGGCAAAGTACAACGAGAGAAATTCTCTCGAGTCGTTCCAGTCGATTTGACAATACCTTGGCAGCCTTCCAGCTACGATCCTTAGGTACTTTGCCAGCTGGTGCCAAAAGGACCATGACCGCAGCAGTAACATTCGTCACGGCGCCGGGAGGCGAGCCGAACAACTTTAATTCTGTTAGATTTGCCTTGTTCAGAGTATTCAGAGCTTCCTGCGCGGCCAGCAAAGCGGGCTCGGCCTTCAGTAAATCCGCCTCGCAATCTTTTTGCTTCTTTGAAACTTCCTCGGCTATCATGGCCACTTTCGACTCCTCCTCGTCCGCTAAATAT